ATGCTATGATTTTGAATACATAGGACTTGTCATTTTGACGGGAAAAGACTAACCGGCAAACGCGTGTTAGGGTAGGCTATCTCTATTCATTTGGGATCGAGATAAAAGTCCCCATGTGTGTGAGGCATGGATTTTGATGTCCTTTTTCAGGTAAGAAGACTAACCAGCAACGTGTGTTAGACACTTGACTTATCCTACTTAGGATTCAGGGATAAAATTCCCCCATGCGTGTAAGGCATGGATTTTGGGGTTATTAAATAACGACTGCTACGATGATTGAATATGTAGGCTTTGCTATTATTACGGGAATAGCTACCCGGCAACATGTGTTAGATGCAGACTTATCTTACTTAGGATTCAGGATAAAATTCCCCATGCGTGTAAGGCATGGATTTTAGCGTTTTAAATAACAACGCACGATATTGAATACGTAGGTTTGCTATTATTATGGGAATAAGGCTACCCGGAGCATGTGTTAGATGCAGACTTATCTCAAATTAGGGATCGAGATAAATTCCCAGGCAATGAATCCTGGTGTCTTTTTCACGGCGGAAAGACTTAACCGCACGCGTGTTAGGCGTAAGACTTATCTTAAATTAGGGTGAGATAAAAGTCCCATGCGTGAAGGATGGATTTTTTGGTGTCGTTCTTCCGTGTGTTGAAACCCGAAAGAAAGTTGAAGTGCCAGAGGTATAGTATTAACTTGCATGAATTTTCACGCTAAGTGAAATCAAAATTTCTTTATTATCACTAGATAATCTAGAAAATCTTTAATTGCTGGGATTTTATATGAAACACTGCTAATTCTTGTTGAAAAATAGAATTAAAAGTTCATTAGGGGGTGATGTTAGAGGTGTGATTTAACTAACAGTATTTAATGGCTTATCGCTTCTATTGAAGAGAGTCGATAAGTTGATTTGGTCAGAGGTGTGATTTAACTTGACTGGTTCGTGGACTATCCGCTCTATTGAAGAGAAGTCGATAAGCTTTGATTGTTGCGATCAAGACAACTTTGAGAGACTATCGCTCTATTAGAGAGAGATCCGATAAGTGATTGTGTCAGAGGCTTGTGAATTTAACGTGACAGGAGGATGTTGCGATTGGAGCCTTTGTGGACTTATCATCCTATTGACGAGGATTGATAGTGGATTGTCAGAGGTTTGATGTTAAAGTGACAGGAGGATGTTGCGATTAGAGCAACTTTGGGGACTTATCATCCTATTGAAGAGGATTGATAAGTGGATTTGTCAGAGGTTTGTGTTAACGTGAACGAGGATGTTGCGATTGGAGCAACTTTGTGAACTTATCATCCTATTGACGAGGATTGATAAGTGATTGTCAGAGTTGTGTTAACGTGACAGGAGGAATGTTGCGATTAGAGCAACTTTGTGAACTTATCATCCTATTGACGAGGATTGATAAGTGAATTGTAGAGGTTTGATGTTAACGGTGACAGATTATGTACTTGTGACTTGCACAAGATTTTGGGAATTAGCGTCTCGCTGGGGAAGATCACGATTTGAGCATTTTGGGACTTATCATCCTATTGACGAGGATTGATAAGTTGATGTTGTCAGAGGTATATTGTTAACGTGCAAATTGGGAGTGATGCAAGTTGAATGCATACTCTGTGGGATGATAATCGTCAGAAGTGTAATGTTATCGACGGTGTGAAAGATTTGTTACTCTTAATTCCAATGATTCCATAACCACCCCAGTCTTGATTAAGACTTAGAGTGGAAGAAAAAGAGGCAGACAAGAGCATCGCCTAGTGAGGCACTATCCATGAAGTCAGAATAGAGACATCACCAGATAGGCCATTATCTGATGAGTTTGACTATCAAGAGGTAACTGTTAACGTGATAGTTTTGTGGACCTGCCATCCATTGAGAGGATTGGCAGAAGAATTTGGAGGGAGCAGACTATCAGAGGTGATCATTAAGTGATAGTTTTAGTGGACCTGTCATTCCTATTGAAGGCGATTGACAAGTTGATGGACTATCAGAGGTAAATGTTAACGTGATAGTTTTTGTGGACTGTATCCTATTAAAGCGGATTGACAAGTTGATGGACGTGATAATTTTGGTAGATTCTGTGGTTGACAGAGGTTATTTTATTAAACATAACAACTCAGAAAATATATTACTCAGAAATCCAATGAACTACAAATAAATCAACCCCAGTCTTGAATAAGTGCATGGGGAAAAGGGTAGTCATGGCACGTCGCCTAGTGGGCCACAATCTAACGAGCTTGACTATCAGAGGTAGTTGTTAACGTGATAGTTATTGGAGACCCGACATCCTACTGAAGAGGATTAGCTTCAGTGGTCGTAGTATCTTCTGTTCTGATTGGGAAAGAATGAGCTTGGTCTGTTGCTTTCAGGAGAGGATTGGGCTTGGTCTGATTGCTCGAGCTGATCTTGCCCACTTTGTTTCTTCAGCTTTGATCCTGGCAATAATCTTCTGAGCCTGTTCGCCTTGAGAGATCAAGTTATCTCCAAGAACGCATTTCTGCAACCTATCGGCTACGGATGTTGGTCTGGCAGGTTGTGTCGACATGGTCTCTACTAAGGTAGACTGTGTCTAACCTGACGGACACCGAGAGCCTGGTTCGGTAAACCTTTAACGAAGGCTTTGACGGATTCCCTCTTCTTCTGCTTAGTGCGAGAAGGGTATGGATGGAGAACTTCCTGTATCCTCTTCCAAAAAATCTTTGACAGGAAGAGTCTCTCTAAATTGTGCCCACCTTTGGATACATCCGGCAGGTAGTTTCTCCTGAACCATTCAAGGCAACTCTCTAAGGGTGGCCAATGTAAGCAATCGAGCCAGTATGGCAACGTTTGATATTACTTCCAGTCTGTGACTTGAAATGAAGATATGTGGGTCGGTGATCCTGTGCCGTCAAAAAGCTTGTAGCGTCGGACTTCAATTTTGGAGGATAAGGGCTGGCGTCCGCATTCGGTAGGAGTAGGGCCTCGACAACTCCCTCATCTTGGAGCTCCGCGTTCCTGTTAGCAATGACATTGGAGAGGCGGGCTCTAATTCCTGGATTTTAGCCGACTGAGGGATTTTTGTCAATACTCCGTCTCTCTCCTTCATCAGAGGAATGATTCGCAGGTTGTGGCTTCTTGTCAGAAGCCGTGTCATCACCATTTTTCCTTCCTTTTGCTTGTGTGGCGGCGACAAGACGTTCTTTCCACTTCGGGAAGATTCTGCCTGATGCTGGCGAATCTGTCATCTGAGATTTGCCCTTGTCTGCGACGATTGAGTCAACAGGCGCAGGAGTTCATTGATGGCCTCGTTGCCTGAGAGTTGAAGCATGGCTCCTCCTGCTCATCAATCTCTGCGCGAGATCTCAATGTTTCCCGTCATATAAGACGTCAGCTTTCTCATATTCAACAAAAGAGCATTGATGACTGGGCTTTCCTGCAATGGCTGAGTGTTCATGACATGTGAATTGTTCCCCTGCTAAACTTTCGATAGTTGACAGGGGGATGGCCTCTGTTCGCGTACCGAAGTATGTTGATAAACTCCATCAGAGCTTATTCAGGAAGTCTTTCAAGCGCGGAGGACCGATCGTTTCTGACTCATCGAACTAGAACTGATGATCTCCCTCTGCTGATCAGTAGAAGTGACTCTAAGGTATCCATCCTCAAGAAGTCTCTCTTCTTGTGTGAACTGCCGTCAGTTTGGTTTTGGTAAGCACGTATTCGTAATTGGTTGAACACCAGCGAGTTGGGCGCTTACAGCATTGCGTCCCGAGATGGACCGGTATGGAATTCAGTCCGTTCACGATTGGAAATGTACGAATGAAGCTTGTTGCATTCGTCTTACTCTCGATGTGACTCTCTCAAATCTGTTGTAAGATTCGAGAGAATTACTCACTGATTGTTGAGGTTTGTGAACTGGAACCCGCCAGTCCATGATTGGACAGGACTGGCTCTTGTGAATATGGATCTGGTTGAGATGCTTGAATCCATAAACTTCTTATATCCGTCGCCTCAACCTAGTCGCGCTACGGCAGAGTATCGGGGGTCTCGCTCCGCGGTCAGGCGAGCGCGGGTGTCGGGGGCGGCGCGCTCCCTGCAGGGGGTCCGGGGGAGGTATCCCCGAGTCGGGTTCGGGGCAGCGCCGCCGAAAGCTCACGATATATCAACAGGCGGCGGTATTGGTTAGCAGCGTTCTTCTTGGCCTGTTTTAAGGCTTTTGCAGCAACGTCGTTGACGTTTATGGAGCTGGTCTCTTCTATAGGCCGTTTATGACCTGTAGCACGTCGTGCTGACGCAGAGGTGAGATATTCAACTCGCTGTGCGAGTTCAGCAGAGGTTGAGCCCGCTCCTGGAGCGGAGGGGCCGTTCGACGAGTTTTGGCCAAAGGAGAGGACTTTCTTTGGCGGTCCAGCAACAGTTGGAGATTTAGTCTCCTTGGAAACTTTGTGGATCTTGCGCATAGCCTTGGGGCTAAGGGATCCAGAGGAGATAGCCTTCTCAAACTTGGCTTGATCAAACTCTACCACGAGAGTTTCGACGATTGTTCCAGTGAGATGAACATCGGATTGCGCCACCACTTCTTCATCAGAGAAGCTTGTCCCCAGCAGAGTCGCCATCTTTTGTTAAAAAGACAATGAAAGAAAAATTGACTTGTATTCCTCTCAAAATCAATTACAATTTGGATTCCGATTACAAAAGAGAGGAGAATGAATTTGACTCTCCCCTTTGTTTAAAACTGGGTTCTTTACGGTGGCGATGGAGTGCCTCCCTCGAATGCTTGCGTCGAGTTTGCTCTCCGTTGACGATCCGCACGTCTTGATTCACTGGAACGATGTCTTCTCCTCACGATTTGACGTTGTGGAGAACTTGCGTGGCAAGTTTGAGAACTCTGAATGAGTTTAGAAGAACTCTGTAAAAGAGTTGATTTGAACCGAAGATCGGTTAATAAGCCAAGGCTAGAAGAAAGCTCTCTGTTGCTGAAGTTGAAGATGATCTTCGTTGGAAGATGATGTCGATCTCCTCAAAAGCCTGTCTCCAGTGGTCGATCCAAGCCAAGAAAATCCAACCTCGTGCGGTTCAGATGCTAAAAATCCAACCTTGCTGCCAATTCTCAGATCCCAAAATGCCAGCCCTTAACTCACTTGAGTTTACTCGCTTTTATAGGGGATTAAGGGGGTGTAACTGCCCTCTAAATCCGTTCCTAAGTGGCGAAAATCCCTCAGAACGTGGGATAACGGTTTTGAGGCCGTTCGGCTTGTGTTTGAACAAGTCAAAACGCCAAATCTGGCATTACAAAGAACCACACTTCGTCTATTAGAATTGGAGACGCGAAGTTGGGGTTGGCTGAACATTGATGGACGCGAGGGTCGCTCGCGTTTTGTGTTGTGTAGCTTAGGAACGCGGGGGTTCGGTGTTGGCATGGACCCCTAAGAACGCGAGGTCGCTTACATTTCGTGTTGTAAACACGGGTCGACTCAGCGTTTTGATGTTGTAACGCGGGGTTCGACCCTTTGGGTTTTTATGGTTATAACGCCGGGTTCGACCTTGGCGTTTTGATGTGAACCGGGGTTCGACCTTGCGTTCTGATGTTGCAAAAGCGGGGTTCGACCTTGGCGTTTTGATGTTGTAACGCGGGGGTTCGACCCGTGGCGTTTTGGATGTTTGTGGACGCGGGGTTCGCGCCTGGGTTTTGATGTTGTAAGGCGGGTTCGACTCGGCGTTTTTGATGTTGATACACTTGGGGAGGACTCGCGCGTTTCTTGCCTTGGCCAGAGATTACACCAAGCTAATCTCTTTTTGTCATAGCGTTACAAAGATCATTGTCTTTGTTAATTTTCGTCTTGGCTCTGAGAATATGAGAGTCGTCAGATTGTAATAGTAACTCCCGATGTTGATTGTGAAGGCTGTTGAAGTAGAGCTCTCATCGGTTGTCGTGAAGGTCGTCAGGTTGTAACCTTTAGCGATCTACGTGAAAGTCTTCAAATTACAGCTTTCTGGAAGTCGTCAGATTGTAACTTCCATCATCGGTGGTTGATGGGGGATAAGCTATCTATTGTGATTTTTAGACAGCCTACAAGTCACTGAGCTGGTACGGGTTCGAGTACGTTGATAGACACCCTCCCCTTCAATGAGTAACGCCATCAGCCCTGGAGAGAACTTGAGATCAGAGGAGTCAGAAGAGTTAGCTGGACCTTTGCCCTTGACCCTGCTAACCATATTTACCGTGACTTTAGCAGGCTCATTCTTGGATGTTTGTCTTTTGGGATGAAAGCATCTTCTTCTAAATGAGAGGGCTTCCAGAAGTTCCAACAATCGCTCAAAGACGGAGGGCCTTGGTGATGGGCCTCCACATTGGCATTTGGAAAGTACTGTAGAGATGAGCTTCTCACAGCTGTATTGAGATTTCATCTAGTTCATACTGCATTTACGAACTAGGTAATCACGGAGATCGCAATAGGGCCACCCCAATTAACTTTGGTAGTGTGCATGTACAAGAATCTCTAAGTGTTAGAGATTGATGAGCCTGAGTGGTTGGACGAACCTCATGGTTGATACATGGTTCGTCAATTGGGTGAACTTGATTTGGGGGACGCACTTATCATCTTGGTCGAACCTCAACTTGGACACTTGAATGTGGCTCAACAACAGGGCGAGTTCGGTGCTGAGGACGCGGTTCATCCTTTGCATGAGACTGAGTCTGGCCAGTTCCAACGGCGGGGCTAACCCGGATAGAGGGACACACTTGTCGTCTTGGACGAATCTCATGTTGAAGACGAGGTTCGTCATCTACGCGCACTTGGACACTTGGGCGACAATGGAGAGCTTCACGGCGTGGATAAAGTTCGTCATCTTGATGCACCTCGGTTAGGCGAGTCTTAGCCCTCTTGTAAGTTCCAGCCACGTCATTTTAGGGCTGATAGTGGAAGCGATATAGCGAGACTAAGGCGTGGGCTTCACAACAAGCCTGATTCTGACGTTGATGACGCCTTTCCCTCCTTGACAACACATTGGCAGCAGGCTCCACAACAATCGATGTTTGACGAGATTGCTTAACGACCTATTGTTTAGCCTGATGGCTAGTTTTCAAAGCCTCGATATTCAGAGGTAGAGATTTCCCCTCGAGGTAGACTCGAGTTGAATTGTCGAGGTAGACTCGAGTTGAATTGTCAGAAGCAACATAGGCTAGAGTCTTATAAGAAATTTTGCGTGACTTGCGTTCCTTAGTGGGACTCGGAGTACGAGAGGAGAGGAGCTCATTGTACTTGGACTAGTCAAAGTCGATGAAGAGAGTCTCGACGTCAATTCCCACGACGATTTTGTCTGACTGCGCCACGACCAATTTATCTGACAGAATGGTTTCTCCTACTATGGTCGCCATCTTCTGTAGGGTCCCAAAAAGATTCTAAACCATTGGTTCTCTTAACTGTTTTAGTCATGAGACGAGATTTTATCGCTTGGTAAAAATCTCATTACAATCTCTCTTTCTCAAATACAGAAGAGGAGAAGGTTGATTTGACTTCTCCTTTGTTTAACATGGGTTCTGTGTAGTAATGAGATGCCTTGCTCGATGCTTGAGTCGAACTTACTTTTTGTTGACGATCAGAACAAGATCACTTCAACTCAGGAGGAGAATCAGCCTCTGTTGATAGCTTGGATCACAAGAACCGAGGTTCGGATCTCAAAAGAGGGCCTCTCTAGTTGGCTTATGAATTCTCTCTTGCTCACTGTGTGCGTCCGTGGTGCTCGTGGCTTTTTTTTCATAGTTGCTTGAGGCTATTTATAAGCCTTTAGCGCGTGACTGACGCGCTAATCGTGGGGTTGAGGAGCGTAACTGACTCCTGGAATTTAACCCATGTGGGCTGACTGGGTCTTCAAGACCGTTACAGTCAAACTTCACTTGGTGAGATGAGCCTCGTTGCGTGGCGAGGTTCGTCAGATGAGACGAGCCTTGATGCACAGTGAGGTTCGTTTTACAAAGTGAGTTTTGCTATATGGTGAGCTTCGTCTTGGATGGTTGAGTTCAACTGCATAGCAAGTCTTGTGGACTTCTTCTGACAAACTTTGTCTTCACTGACGAGCTTCGTCTTTAATAAGCTTCATCTTCATTGACGAACTTCATTTGCTAAAGGATAAAGTGTTGAGAGCCTTGTCTCTAGGCGAACTTCGTCTTCAATGAGGAGCTTTATTCTCTGAGAGGTGAGGCACTGTTTGATGAGGTTCATCTGCGGATGGACTTTGTCTCTTGAGTGGGCTTCATCTTCTAGAGGATTTTCGTCTCTAGGCGAACTTCATCTTCAATGACAAACTTCGACTCTAAATGAGCTTCATCTCCAATGATGAACTTTGCTGGCTAAGACGAGGTTCATCATGATGACGATCCTTATCATGATTGTAGTGAGGTTCGACCCTGTTTTGTTTCTTGGCATTTTTGAGTGCCTATAGGAGTTGAGTTACCCAAATTAACAGCAAGAGCAACAATATTAGAAGTGGAAGGAGTCTCACTGATTCTAAGATTCTGCACAACAAAACTAACAAAGGTAGACATT